AAGTTTGGCAAAGTCAGGAGCAACTAAAACAGGGTCTTAGAAAAGCAAGCAGTGAAAGGCACTGGCTAGAGGCACTGCTGTCAGCAACTGCAGCGCTTTCAGTGCTTTAAGAGACAAACATCGGTTCTAAATTTAAGCCTTGAAGAACAGGGAGAAGGTGGGAAAAAAATTAAACAAACCATTTCAGTGTTGGGAGTGAAAAGACTGCCTTTGTCAATCCAAGAAAGATACCGTGCCTCTAAACTAAACTCTAACGTTTTTATATAGAGTCTGTTATAGAAACTGGAATGGGAACTCATTAGCATCTAATCTAATGCTTTGACCTTCTGAAAATGACTGTCGTTATTACTACTGCTGCGTACTGATACTGTGCTTGGCACAGCACAACACACAATATAGATGGTCTCTGCCAGAGCAACTGAAAGCAGGGGTTTAGCCAAAAGTTCTCTTATTTTCTTCCTTTTCTCTTTTATCAGTTGGCTAAAAATGTTAGCATTTAATCACATACAAGCGTGTTCCCCTTCCCTTTCCAGCCACAAACAATAATAGCCCAATCCACTGGAGCTTTTCCATGACTTTGAGAACTGGATTGGATCCAAAATTAAATGGTTTGGCAAGGAGCAGAAGACCTTGTAGAAAACAGGGATAGCGGTGAAGGGTTGAAAGAGCAATCCTTATAGCAATTAAAAATGGCACGGCCAACTTTTCATATCTAATGGTATTTCACAACAACAGAACTTTTTTCAATTATGTTTCATTAGTATAACGTAGTTAAGAGAACCACTGTAACAAAGCAGAAACAGAAATGTTGTTAATAGTTTATGTTTGCATTACAGTAGTACTCAGATCTTAACTGAGATCAGATGTACACAATGTGTTCAGTAAGAGAAAACATGCAGCATTGACATTGCTCTGTAATATTTTGTGCCTGTCCTGCCCCTTATTTTCTCCACTTTTTTTTCTATTCCTGGACCTTTCATGAACTTGGAAATGATGCAGAAAGGGCTTGACAGTGAGCTAAGGGTGCTAACCAGCTGTTACAGCTATGTGTTAAATGCAGTTCATCAGGTTTCATGTAAGGATTTTTTGAGTATCTATCCTAAGTAGGAACTAATCCAAAAATATATAAAATAAACACTTACAAACCGCCAATCACTATGGCTACAATTATCAGCCCTAACTCCCTATACTTCCATTACCCATCAATACCAAACCCTCTGTTGTGGGAATGGCTGATGAACAGCTGTGTTGCACAACAGTTCCTGAAAGCCACCAGATCGTTTGCATACCACAACAGGAGCAAACACTCGCCATGGGGATGTTCAAATGAAGTACTTCTGTTAGGGAGGATGTGGGGTAAAGCAGTCTGAGAAAATTGCTTGGTGGCCAGTTTGGGTGTGTGGCTGTCAGGCTGTGACCATTCTGACCCTGGTTCAGTGCAAAACTTGGGTCTTCACTGAAATATGAGAGCTATCCCATACAGGCTTAAAACCTCTTTTTTTTGCACAGCAATTAATGTAGTACGTTAACACGCTGAAATATGGCAGAAGGCCAAAACCCTAATGCATGCCATATGTTTGATTGTTTTTGACAAACATTTCCAACTTCTCAAAACCACGATTACAATCGAAAACAAGGCAATTCCTTGCACAACCAGCCCCCCACCTTGAGCTCATATTTAACACTTCCTGTGTTTTAACCACTCTGGATATCCCCATCAGCTCTGGAATTTTTGGCTTGTTTTCTAGCACAATCAAAACCTGATGGTTGTGTTCAGCATATAGAGACCAACATAGGCAATGGATTTTGTCCTTTAGCAGCTGTTTGATACTGCTTTTTGGTCAAGAACTCTCCAATAAAACCCCAACACAAAAAAAGAGAGGTGGAGACACTAAATTAACAATAAAGATGTATCACAGACTGTTCTGGAAGGAGGATATTTTAAATGCCACCTTCTTTTCGGCTCATCACTGAATTTTCAAGTCAGTATCAGTTTTGCATGATAAACATAGGAACTGGTAGAAATGTCACTTAACATTTGGTAGAAACATCCCACTTCCTAAATTCGAAAAAATAAATGCTTTCCCAGTGGCAGAAAAATATCAAAGTACAAAACAGTGACAAAAACTTAAACAACACTTGACATATTCTAATCCTACTGACAGACAAATATTCTCAGGTGCTAAACAGTGCCAAGTGGCACATCGACATCAACATCTCCCGTTTCTAATTATACGCAACTGGATGCATTTTGGAGCTGCCCCAGAACTTAATTTTTAACTAGCAGAATTAGTGTAAAATTAATTTGGGACTATTTACAGTATGGCTACATTATAGCAGTGGTACAATGTAAAGAAATAATTTAACAGGCACCTATATAATATAATCATATAAATATTTACCAATTTGTAAATACACCTTGGAGACTATCAACATGCAGAAGGTGAAGAATAAGATTTTCTTCAAGAGATATTCTACTTTGGTTTCTTTTGAGGACATATTTTAGCAATGTAAATTATTTATCCTGAACTAATTACTAAGCTTTGGAAGAATACTAATTATTCTCTAATTAAAGTGACTTTAAATCTAGCATGTAGTATCATATCTTGGAAATGTCTTTGCAGCATTGCTTTACTTCCTTGCATAAAACTATCTTAGTATAAATGAAAATCAACTCATTATTTTAATACAATCATTCTGTTATTGGCTCTTCAATTGAGTTTGTCAAAATAAGTAATGCTGCAGATACAAGCACGGATTCTAAGATCCAGAGTCAGCCACGCATGGCCTCTATATGACATTCATCCTGTTTCACCAGATTCAATCAATTAGCAGAATAATCATACAATTCATAGGAAGATTTCAGTACATTCGGCAGATGCAGATCTCAATCATATGATTTATAAGGCTCAGCTTCTGCATTAAGTCTTTGCAGTGTGGAGCAAGGGGGAAGGAGAACAAGAAAAGGAGACAGAGACGCCCAGTGCTTGAAGTCTGGTTGTCTTTCTGTAGGATACCTCTTGTCAGGTCAGGGGCAGAAGAGAGACACAAGTACCAACAGGGGATCAAGCTCAAAATAAACAGATTCTTTCTCAAAGCCAGTTCCCTTAAAGCAGCACAAAAATGACACTGTCCTGTTCATCCCGTTCTCAACTGTCAAGGTAGTGGGCTTCATCAGGTATACAGATCTGAGATTAATTCAGGTTTTGTAATATTAACAAAGAAACAAAGGGTATTTTCATGATATTTGGCCTTTGACTTCAAAGAAAATTTAGCAGAATTCTTTGTGTTTAAATTATGACTGCAGAAACCACAGAACATGTGGTTGTTTTCATTCGACTTAATCTGCTAAAGTCAATACTGAGGATTTTGTCAGGAACTGGTGGTGTAAAGGAACAGAAGACATTAAGGGAATAATTTCCTTAGTCTAAAATGCTGTGATAACCTCGTAATTGTGATAATTCTTAAAATTGTAATTTTGAAGTAAATGATCACAGCAAATAAAAACCCACAAAATAAGAATAGCTTTAAATGCTAGCATGGCTGAATTCATTCTGTGCTGAGGGAAAAGTGACAGGTGTGGTTATTTGTGTTTGTAAAGCCGTGGTATTTCCACACCAGAGACACTAGGAATTAATAAGCAGTGCTTATTAATAAGCAGCACTTCAAGGGCATCTGGAAGCAAATGTAGGAATAATACTGCTTTAGCCTTGTTAAAAGAAAACTGAAACAGAACAAACAGGCCAGTGCATACACCATCACTGTCAGGGACAATACAGGGATTAGTTTTGTGCAGATCAAGTGCTGGTCCTGTGGGTATGTGCAATTCCACGCACTGCTGGTTTTTTGTGTACTTATGTTTCAGGCATGTTTGGAGATCTCAGGCTACAGTGCAAAATGCAAAATCTTAGCCCTAAGTCAGTAAATATCAATAAGGTTAGACCTGACTGAAGGCACTGGTATAAATATGCAGAAACTTCCAAATGGTAATTTGTACTGCTTTTTTGTAATTTGTACTGTAATTTGTACAGTGGTGAGTAGGAGAGTGGAAAAGGGAAACAATTGATAGTAAATCTATAATGCAATAAACTTTTATTTTCTGTACAGTATGTGCTTGATCACCCCTGCTAACAGCAGGATCACTGCAGTCCAAATTAAATAATCTTAAATTCATCAGATGGTCAAAAATGGACCCAGACATAATAAGTTCCTTTTTGAATGAAGAGGTGGCCTGAGGTGTAGGCATTTTTATCCACTGTATATAAACAAGGAAAAGGAGATAATGGTGCTAAAAGAACATTGCTTGCTTAAAAATATGACTGTTCCTGCCCTGAGGTTATCCTACTAATGTTTAAATGATTAGAATTAGGTTTTCCTGTTTTCCCCTTTTTTTCCTGTAGCTGTAGGACAAAGTGAAGCAGAGAAACTGTCTGCGTGAATAGCATTGCCAGATGTGCTAGTAAACAAGTGGAAAAATACTTAGTTTTTGTTAAGTGTATTCCCTAAGCTACTACTTACAGCAATTATAGGCAATACTTACTTAGAAAGGCATTTAATACGTTTCCTCCTAAACACTTCCCCCAGTACAGTACCCTTGCATGGGAGTAATGGTGAACATGGGAATAGTCCCAGTGCGGTTAGGGAGGCCACCTTTCTCCATCCTTGACTGCAATTAGAGGTGTTTGCTGAGATGGGGGCTGCTGACTGAGCCCTTCGCTGGACTGGTGTTTGTGTGCTCCCATACCCACCAATGGGCCTGATTAAACACGCAGTTATAACTCCCGAGCAGCAAGGCAGACCACCACTTCATCTCCTGCAACGTCAGCTCTAGATCTGAGTCCTGAGCAGATCTGACTCAGGAGCAGACTCCTGAGCTTCACCCTGCACAGCAACAGCCTCCACCTCTTTTGTCCCAGCATATTCCACAAAAAGGCTAGGCAGCGGTGGATGCCTTGCCCAGGCAGTCTGTTATTCAACACTGACACAAGGACACACAATACCTTTCTTTTCTCCTGTAAAAGGTACAAAGTCTTCTCTGTCTTTGTGCTCGAGCGCTTGTTTCTCCAAGTACGAGAGCAGGCGTTCTCTGTCAAAAGGGCCTGTGGCAGGTTTAGTGGTCTGGTCCTTTTGCCGAAAGCCTGCTGGAAGCAAGGCGTTCTGTGAAAGAGAGGGAGGCATGTACAGGAGATGAGCCCATTTCATACAGCATTCCAATTTTAATTTCAATATGGTTTTTCTTTTTAAATTAAACCATTCTTTGCGTGTCACTTCACATCATGCCCTTTGTTGACAGCAATAACACACATTACATATATGTAACCATTAAACCCAGTATATCTTCCAGCCTCTTGTTTGTACCACCTCTGAATATTTTTAATAACCATATTTATAATCACAGCACCAAGGAGCTGAGCAAGATCAGAGGCTTTTGTTTTACACGTATTATAACCACAGAGTTTGCAGTCCAGGAAAATAGATCAGGATAAGTTTTCTCTAAATTTTCTTCCCTTCATTCACTCTTTTTCCTCCTTATTTTTCTCTCTTTTCATTTTTACAAAAATTCCTTTCATTCTAATGCAGATGTCTGCTGGACTTCAGAAATGAATGGCATGCACAGAAAGTAATTGCTGAATTATGTGGACTTCAGCTATTTAGAGCATGCAGAAAGCAAGGAGACGAAGCACCATGTTAAACATGTAGCTGTGTGACCATGTGATTGCATCTGCATCCCACAGATGCACAAGGCTCCCCGCATTTCTGCCCAGGAAATCCCAGAAAGGAATATAGGTACATGGACTTTGCAGTGCATGTGCAGTGAAGCCAACATGTTGAAGACGCCCCAGAGTACTGCAGAAACACTTCATCGTTGGCCAGAACACACACAGTAAGTCTGATCCATGGCAGATATCCAGTGAATCCTGAGATCATACTCAAGTCACTAGACATTTTATCTGTGAGTGCACAAACGTGCCCAGAGTGCTACAAATTTACTGCACATGTAGCTTGACTACAAATGCATCATGGCACTTTTTTTGTTGTGAACGTTCTGTGTCTCCATTTGAGATGCCAGATACTTGAACAAACCAGAAAAGGTGCTGCAGAAGCAGTAGAAGTGAGGGAAGTGGCAGCATGGAGGAAGAGAACAGTAAAGCCCACCCTTAATTTCCAGGTAAATTTGTGATATCAAACTAGAAACTATAAATCTATTGTGTTTTTTTCAAATTTATTTTTTCCCCAGAGTGAACAGATTTTATCTGCCAGTTTACCTGCCAGTTTTCAAATTCCTACATCAGTTTGGAAGGTTTTGGGGTAGGTACAGTCAGAATTACCATCCAGCACGCTTGTGACTGCAACCTCATTACTGTAGGACCGACTGGTTCCCAGGCCAGAGACCTTTACATTCTTTGTGATAGTGTCTTCAAATATCCAAATTATCCTTGCTCTCCAGAAATTGACAGTTGTGTAGCTGAATCTTATTTTTCTTAATCATGCCTAAATATATTCTCTTCAGCTAAAAATATCTGTGCTGAATGACGTAGTCAACAAATTTCGGAAGTTCAAAAGATCTCATCTTCGCAAACACACATTTGTTTGTTTACTGCTGTGTTCAGAAATAGCAGCCATAAAAAGCTTCTCATCGTGCTGCAGTGTACAAACATGATTAAAGATTTAGATTGCAGACAAGCTTGTGTCTATATAGACAAGGGATAGAGAAAAAGCACAGTGACTTGTACAAAAGCGAGTAGCACATCAAAGCAGGAATAAAACCAAAATCACCCTAGCTGAGCTGCTCATCCTTTGGGGTACACTGCCTCTGCTGTAGCAGAATACAAATATAAAATGCTGTAGTATGTGGTATTTATAATTGGCAGCTTCTGAACTGTGATCCCCCTGGCCCCCATTACTAACCTCAGGATCAAGGTCATCGAGAACATGCTCTAGCTGTTTCAGTTCATCCTCTGAGAGTTTGTTGAGTATTTCATCTTCATTTATATTCTTGTATTTCTCCAGCTCTTTTCGGAAGGGCAGAGACATGGCTCCTGCTGCACTTATCGACTGATGCTGCTCTTCAAGATTTCAACCATCCAGGAGTACTGAGCTTCTTGCAGCTTCTCTCACTGTTAACAATAAAGTATTATGAGTATCTCCATTTAGCTGATCTAGTCCTAAAGAGCCTGCCTGCTGAGAGTCACATTTACACTTTATTAGTGAAAACAAAGCAGCAAGATGTCCTGGCTCGGCAGATGGGGTGTGGGAAGCGCTGGGGCTGCCTGTGCAGCAGTAGCCAAGGAATAGCAAGGAGGGGTATGGTATGCTCAGGAACCTCATGATCAGAAACAGCATTAGCTGGGGACTTTAATTGTGCTCCAGGCTCTCCCAATTCTGCCCAGTTTCCCACACCAGCACCAGAGCTCTCCGAATTACAGAGCTAGCTGTGCAGTTTTACAGCTGAATTTTTGCATTCACAAATTTGAAAGTTATGGTTGATATGGAAACCAGCCAACTGGCACCTACGTCTGGCTTATGTATCAACCCAAACTCTGATTTCCTTTGGCCAGGTCCTTACTTGTCATAAGCTAACAAAATCCATGTGGGTTCTGCCGCTCTTCATATGAGCTGGAAGCCTGATCTTTATCTTTCTTTTATTCAAAATCCAAATGAAAACATTGCATTTACTTAGAGTTTCACTATTAAAATACTAAATATTAAGACATATCTCATTTTTCTTTTTATCAAAAAGACTAGAAACCAGTAACCTATAGAAAGGGAAGAGAATGAGAAGAATTACAAATGTGAAAAATCTGGAATTATATGAACACTGCAAGGTATTATAAGCCTTGACTTCGAACACTTAAAACATCCTATTCAAAGAAAAAGCATTATTTCCCTTACACACTCTCATTTTTCTCCTTATTACTGCTCTATTTGTTGTCCCTGTTTTCATAGCATGACATCATTGTCAAGCCATTCCAAATGTCAAGGTAAAATTCAAATGTTCTTTAAATTGCAAGTTTCTTATAGGAAGTTAATCAGCATCTGATGTTTCACAAAGTTACAGCAGTTGTGAAAAATTCTTATATTATCAAAATTCTATCATATGTGATGAGTGTGAGAGATATTTTAGCAAAAAGAGTCCAAAAGAGCTAATGGTTTTATGTACTTGGTGCTTAAAGAGAACACTAGTTCTACCTCCATTTAATTGACACAATTTGTTACCAAAACTACTTGTTAAATAATGAAAGCATTTTATTTAAAAGTTATAAATATATTTGTTAAAACTGTAAAAACAAATTCAGCTGCAGTACAACATGTCTATACCAAGGCATTGGGCACCTTCTCTAAGTTTCTTTGGATAAACACATTAAACACGTAACATCTCAGCTAGCAGTCATTAACTGGGCTGAAAAATTTCTTTGAGGGGATTAGAGCTTTTTAAAACTCTATTTAACAGTTTAAATGGTTATATTAATAGAGTTTAATTGCAACCCTTGAAAAGACAGAAATGTAATCCGAAGGTTAGATTAATTAAATATTGTTGGAAAAGTAACTAGTAAGAGTACATAACAGTTCCCCTGGATGAAGTTCAGCACTTCTGTTGTGCAGGACACCTGGTACCAGTACCTCTCCCTCATTTGTATGGCACTGCACGATTCCCTTCAGGGAGCACAGCTAAGAATTGTTTTACAGCCCATGTATGTAATGGTTTTTGTGAAAAGGTTTGCGAAGTTGAATCCGGGTACTAATGGGTAATTACTGCAGAATATGATTTGTGTACCAGCCGTTTCTGATTTCTTTGTGATTTCCCTAAGTGCTTTAGCCATAAAGGGAAGATGTGCCAGGAGACACTTTCTAACAGGTGACAGTTTTCAATATAGTAACTGTTTCCTTGTCATTATTAGTAAAGAGAAGGTATTTGTGTGCAGCAAAGGATACCCAAAGAGAAATATAAACCCAGATACTGAAGATGTATCGGTCTAATTTTATTCTTATGGCATGAAGCACTAGGTTGGATAACCCTTGTTAGATCAGCGGTGCACGGAAGAGCTTGAAATCATGCTTTTCTTGCATGCATGCATTTGCAACAGAAATTCCCTTGATATTTTCCCTTTCACAACTGAATCCCACTCTTCAGTGGCTGAACAAAAGCAAAAGACTCCACTGAGGGAATTTTTTTGTCCACAATCCCTGTGAGCAGCAAAGCTTTTTTGGAGCTTGCACCGTGCTGTACAGGCACTGAGACGCCTTCGTTCATGTCCTGGCTTTATCCTCTTGATTGACCTTTTACCACACTCACATTATCGGAAACCAAGGGAATGAAATAAATCTGACAATTCAGCATCATTCAGTCTGGGAAGGAAATGCTGGTCTTGAGTTCACATACTCTGGAAATTGCTGTTTAATGTGATGATTATTACGATCTCCACCTTCCTAATTGGACTTCATCCTGTTAATTTTGTGCATGTAAACAGGGCCACGTGCTGTCTGTGCTGCTTCTCATTGTGGTTTGGCTTTTCTGAGTGTTTACTTTTTACAGATTATATCCACTGGATTTTCTTTGATGTGATTACTGTATGAAAACTTTAATCAGCTAAAAAAGTAATCCTAACTAACCAAAAGCTCCTAGCCACTGTTATTTTGAGCATAAAAAACAGACCAGGTGTCACACAGCAGAAAGATGTTCAACCTAATTGCAGAGGCAATATGCTGATGAATGTTACACTGCATTAGGGATACTGAGGAAAGTAGAATGAAGGACCATAGGTAAGACTATGGAGTTTCCCTTCGAACTTACTGGGAAGAGTGAACAAGGACAGTAAGGAGGAATGGAGAGTGAACGAGGAATGGAGAGTGAAGAAGGAATGGAGGAGCACAAATCCTTTTTTTTTTCTTTTTTTCCATTTAGTTTCAATACAAAGGATCACAGTTTACCATGGGCTCCAAAACCCGCTGTTAAAACAGTAGAACATGCTGTTACATGCCCAACAGGTGAGATCTATGCTGATTCAGGGTGGTTCTGAACTGCAAGAGGTAGCGTTTCTTCTAGCCATGTGCTACTTTTAAATCTCTGTGGAGCACAGATGTTTTGCAGTGAGCTTCAAAGAGTCCATTGCTATATTTTTGTCTTTGATTCCTTCTAAAGAAAGAAATATGTACTTCTGTTTTATTTGGGGCAGCTTTTTCACCCATACCTGTCAACATCAGGATTCAAAATATATTTTCAAAGCAAAAGGGTGCCATTAGTCAGCCCACATAAAATCATTATTGCTCTGTGTAGTCAACACCTGCTGTGCTGTAACTCCTCTATACTTTGCTGTGTTCCATAAGTACTTTTTGGTTCTAATCTTTATATGCTACTGAAGGGTTTTCTAGGCTGTAGAGTGGCTGGCTTTAGTTTCTCTTGATACCATAATGCTGTCCTAATTTTCTACTGCGGATACAGGTATTTCCTTCTGAAATGGAATCAGTCCTCTGCTGAATTAATGTTAGACGTCAGAGAGGTCCCACCTTCATTGGCTTGGGCCCCTTGAGAAGTGATGGAACAACCTAAACTATAGGACCTTCTATGGACCAGCAGTTACAAAGGCACATCAGGTCGCTCATGCTGTCTAAAACACAGGCTATACACCTAGAAAAACATAATGGCGCTGAGTTCCTGTAGAGATGAGAATACTGTGATACAGACAAGGTAAATTTCCAGCTTTTGATAGTGCATACAAGCTAAGAATGAAGCTATAAGGCAATGTGCATTTATTATGTAAAAAAAGATGTGCTGAATGGGAAATAATCCAACAGGTTTTTGCATTTTTTTAGAAAAAAACCTTCTTTTATAATCAGATTTGAGAAATTGTTCTCACTTTTCCAAATCATGGCAACTGATGTTTAGAAAGGAAAAGCTGATGCACGATCTATTTTAAACTATCTCCATAACCACAGTGGAGGATATTTGTGTTTTGAAAACCTTTAAGATAATCATTCAGTGATTAGAAACTCCACTTCATAATTGAATGAGCTTTTCTGAACCTTGGGAATGCTTATGCCACTCAGTAGTTTACATTACAGCTAGCTTGTTTACTGAGGGACTGACAACTTCTATGCAAATAAAATGCAAGACATCAATTCACTTTAATGGGAGTTCAATCAAGCCCTTTATAAGAAAATAACCAGCATGTATATTGCAAAATTATCCATATGAATGTACTGTTATTTACAGAAGATATAAAGGGCTGCACTCCCTTTGATTCAGATAACATGAAAGGTTTTTAACTGGCGATTAAAGATGAAACACTAATGCTTCTCCCACTGATAGCAACTGTGGAAGAAAGCAGCCTCTTTCTTGTGGAGCTCCAATGATATTTTAACATCTTTCGATAACTACCAGACTCAGGAGGTTTGATTCTGCAGTACATAGGTGCTGATCTACCTTGGAACAAGAGGTTGTACCTCCCCTGGTGAGCACCGCCCCAGAGCATACACGCTCCTAGTCTTGTGACACAGCAGCCCATGGCTCTCTGGTCCCCAGATGAACGTGGATGAAGCAGTGCCTGTATCATGCACGTTACAGTAACAGCTGTGATGTTTACAAGATGGTGTTTTCATCCAGTTCAGTCTCACAAATTTTGTGTTGTGTAAAGAACTGTAGTTCTTGTCATCAGCACATCTACCATGAATGCAAAGCAAAGCATACACTGGGGTATGAATTATCTGCAGCTTTGCAAAAAGGCATCTTCAGAAAGCCTAACAGTGGGTTCTGGTATCCTCACTGATCGATCACATTTACATGGAGCCAACTATTGCCATGCCTTAAACACCTTCAACCACACAAAAGCCTCTCCACCATCCTGTCAGAAGAAATAAATGTTCTGTTTGAGGTCAAACAGAAAGACTGTGGCAGGACAAGGAATAGAACCATCTTCCAAGTATCAAGCATTGGACAGCTTTTCCTTTGGCTATGGGTCCCTTCTTCCATGGACATCTTCTTCATCTAAGTGGATTTTTTAAATGAACCATACATGCCAAGTGAAAACACAGCAGAGACTACCAAAGGCTGGGTTAAGAGCATATATTACTGATTGCAGAACTGTCACAGAATGGTGGGGGTTGGAAGGGACCTCAGGA